AAAATTAGCAGGGCATGGTGGCGTATGCCTGTAATCTCAGCTACTTGGGAGGCTGAGGCAGGAGAATCACTTGAACCTGGCAGGCAGAGGTTGCAGTGAGCCGAGATCACGCCATTGCACTCCAGCCTGGGCAACAAGAGAGAAACTCTATCTTTAAAAAAAAAAAGAATGAAGGAGATGTTCAGAGGGAAATTAGGAGTAGAATGTATTCCTGATATCATCTTTCAGTTCTTACTTGACTCCTTTCTTGAAGTTTAGCTGTAATTTTACTTGGGTTCTATGAGGCACTCCTGATATCATTATCATAGGTATGATAATGATTATATATATATATATATATATATATATGCATATACACACACACATATTTTTTTTTTCCTTACTTAAGCTAGCTTGAGTTCATTTCCTTTGCTCCTCGAAACCGAAAAGAACAGCAATAATGGCAATAATATGAGTAATGCTAACAATAGTCGACAACAGTTATTAAGCACGTATTATGTGCCAGGCACCGTGCTAAGCAGTTTTAGGTACTTTATCTCACTGACATTACAGGTGTGAGTCACTGTGCCCAGCCTATCCTATGCTTTCTAAAGACTGAAAAAAGAACTGATGTATTCTAGAAATACTTCCAAAAAAGTGGAAAGAAAAGGAGTTTTCTGGTTAAATTCAATTTATCAAAGAATTAAATTAAAAAGAAACTTCCTATATCCTGAAAATTTGGAGAAATCTCAGTTATGATTAGAAGGTGAAGTTAGTACTTAAATTTCCTGCAGACTTGGCTTAATTTTCTTTAGTCTCTAGACAAGTCTCTGCATAACTGAACTCTAGGTAGAGTTTTTCCAAAACTGTATTTATCTAGGTAGCCCACATTCCAAGAACTGTTCAGTTTCTGAAATTACTTGGAAGACTTTTTTTTTTTTTTTGAGACGGAGTTTCGCTCTTATTACCCAGGCTGGAGTGCAATGGCGCAATCTCGGCTCACCGCAACCTCCACCTCCTGGGTTCAAGCAATTCTCCTGCCTCAGCCTCCTGAGTA